TATCAGAGCACGTTTTTGTGTATCTGAATACTTCAGTAAGTCAGAAAGATTTTAGATAACCCGACCACACCATGCTCACGCCTCGCCGACTACCAGGTAAGTGCTGATTAAGTTTTAAATTATAAACAATTTACTATTTCTATGCTCAGAAATTCCTCAGTTATGACATAGTTAAGATGCTCGAATTATGTTCATGACCAGTAGTCAGTATACTCGGAATTTTATGTCAGTATTTCCTAGTCATATTTAGCGACTCGTCAAGAAATTTGTGTTCTTTATTGATCAGTTTCAATAAAGTCATCAGTAATGATGTTCGAGTATGATTTCAGAACTCTAGAAAGGGGCTAGGATTGAGAACCCTAGATTCCATTCTAGACTTATTCAGATTAAGTTAATGCTTCATTCAGTGATTTGTAAACAGTTATGTTATACAAATCTTAGTAATCATGTTTCTCGGGCATTTTCTATCGAAAATTGTCCATTTTGCCAACCAGCAGGCACATTCTAAGAAAGAATTCCTTGAGTTAGATCAGGGAATAAACTTAATTTTTCCCAAGTAAAGTCAGTAAATTATGTTCAAGGCAGAAAAGTTTTTATGTTAAGGGTTGTTAAAATTTTCAAGTTTTTATCAAGTAACGGTTTTTCAGTGTATAAGAGCTAAAAGTCCGGGTTACCATGGAGGCTTGAAATAAGAGCCACTAAGCCGGGTATACCATGGAGGCTTGAAGCTGAAACCGGAGCAGCACAGTTCCAGAAGTAACAACCTTTAGAGTCAGCTAAGTCGGGTATCTTACCAGTTAGATACTCTGAGTTTAGTTGGCAAAGTTCAAGATCAGTTAATTATTCAGTACTTGCGGGACCAGTTGATACTGGAGCAGCTCTATGTAGTACAAAGTCATGAGTTAATGTTCACGATTTAAAGGCAATGTTCATGATTTGAGGTCGACGTATAATAGTTGTTCAGCCGGGTTAAAATGGAGGTCTGTGATACAGACTATTAGTCCAATTTTACCTGGAAACTTGAAGTCGCACCTTATCAAGTCAAGTAATTCAGTAAATTTCATGTTCTCAATTCTGAGGCAACCATTTAATTGTCTCGGAATAGCTTTCAGAGTTCAGATAAAGAATGATTCAGTCATGTAAAAGTCAAGTCCTGAATATTCAGTAATGTGAATGCTCAGGCCAGCTATGTTAAGTCAAGGATAGTCTGTCTAATAAGACAAGACTTATCAGTCATTTCAAGCATGTCCAGTACCTCGATTCTCAAATGTTGATAATTTGAGAACTCGTAGGAAAGATCAGTTCAGGATAAACTTTTCTTGAGGTTAAGTTTGACCTCAGGGAAGGTAAACAGTTGCAGGTACAACATGTCGATTTTCGACACGGCGAAGAAGCTCAATCAACAACAGCAGATCATGCCATGGTGACAACCAAGCTTTCCATTCAAGTATGCATGACGCCAGAAGAGCAGGATGCCATACCATGTTTGGTCACCGTACACTGGGAAATTACAGAGAGTTAGCCCTTTAGTACATTGAGGTTACTAGCCAAGATACAGATATGATCAGCCACACAGACTACGTCGACATCGCTGGTGCAAGGTTCGCCAGGTGCTGTATGCAGGTGCGCCGCACTCACTTGATGAGGAGCGGATGTGCCGCATTACAATGTGCCGCGGACGATGTGCCGCGTATCGAGTAGACATTCAGGAAAGGTAATTGCCAGGATTGCTAGTTACCTTCATTTGTACACATGCGTATCTCTGAAATTTTCCGGGAGTACCTATGACGGAAGATCCACACTCAACAATCAGACAGAAGATCAGTCAATCGGGAGATGAAGATCAGTACGTTCTAGAATTATATTCAGTTAATAGGACACTTTCTTTCAGAAAAGTGTTCCGTTCTAGTC